GAAGACACCCAAATGTCTCCCCAAGTCTTCTCCTGGAAACATTCTCCATTACTCCAACTGGTCCTATTTTTGTTGTCGTTGTTTGTTTGTTTTGTATTTTTGGTGGGGAGGTAGAGTTATTTATTCATTCATTCATTTAAATGGAGGTGCTGGGGATTGAACCCAGGACCTCATGCATGCTAATAAGCTTAAGCGCTCTATCACTGAGCTATACCCTCCCCACCACTAACTGGTCCTATTCACTCACACATGATTTCCTGGTACTTTTCTGGACCTGCTTCTTGAATAGTTCTACATCACCAACTTATATTCCCAATTGGTATTCATTCAAACCAAAGATACAAGTTATTTATTTCGTACAATATTACAACATTTAAGAACTTGTGTGGTTTCAGCTACAAGGTCTTCATTTAACTTAGTTGTTGTTCTGTCTACAATCCAAAGGGGTGGGAAGGCATAGCTCAGTGGCAGACTGCCTGCTTAGCACGCATGAGGTCCTGGGTTCCATCCCCAGTACCTCCACTAAGAAATAAATAAACCTAATTACTTCTCCCCTAAAAAAAACACAACAAACAGACAAATAAAAGACAAAATAAAATCCATAGAATGTTCCTTGAAAATATACTTTCCTACCCTGTAAGGTATGGAGCTTTTTGGTGCTATAAAGAATTGCATAAGAATAAACATTCAGAATTTTACTCTTAATGGAAAAATTTTACCCTCAACTTTGACACAGCTGAGCAGCCTCAAAGGAACTGGTTTTTCAGTTTATAGGCAAACCGTCCACTTACCTCAGGGGTCAGACTTCTGGCGATGATGGGCCCGACCATACCAGGGATGGTGGCAAATGTGTTTGTGATGCCCAGGAGGACACCAGCGTACCTGCAGATACATTTCACAGACGCTTGTTACTGTCACACATTCAAATAGCTCTGTCAGTAGACAGCTACGCTGCTGCCAGGCTGTATTCCTGTGAGATTTTATGTCTAAATGAAGTGTTTCACTGAAATGGGACTAAACATTTAGCTGCTGAAAAACCCGCATTTCAGTGGTTCTGCCATCAAGGGAGGGCATAGCTCAGATGGTACAGTGTGGGCTTAACATGCACGAGGTCGTGGGTTCAATCCCCAGTACCTCCTCTGTAAATAAATAGATAAACCTAGTTACCGTCCTCCCCCCAAAAAGAAACGTCTCTTCAATAGCTCTAACACCATAGAGAGGAGCACCGCCCTGGAGGTGACCCCTTTTACAGTGAGATACGATTCTCATGCATGACTGTATCAAGATAGGAAACCTGATGTGTCTTAAACTTTTTTTAAGTTAAAAAAAGAACTTATTTCTTGATTACAAAATTTATGTCACTGTTAAATTTTTTTAATTACAAAGAAAATAAAATTACTTACAACTCCTCTACACAGATGCTCAACAGTGACATTTTGGTTAAGTATCCTACTTTTTTTTCTGTGTATATTTGTGATAATACATTATAGAAATGAGATCATACTGATAACACAATCTCACAAGTTACTCGTTCAACTTATTACATATCTTCTTGTACCGAAATCCTTGCACACTGTCCCAGAAATAGGCTGGGTTTATAGTGTGTGTGTGTGTGTGTGTGTGACAAAAACCCATTTTTAATAAACTCAGAAAAAAGTTCTGACATTTTAAGGGTAAATCTTGGGGGAGTGGATTTTTTTTTTGCATTCTTTTTTATTGAAGTATATTCAGTTTACAACTGACTATATAGTTGTGTCAATTTCTGGTGTAGAGCCTACTGTTTCAGTCATATATATGGGATATTCTTATTTATGTGTAGATGCAAGCCTTTAAAGAATGAACTGCCTGTTTTGGGAAATGCAAATTATCTGTTGATTCCTCCAGTGTGGACTGAGGAAGGAAGGCTACCATAGCCAAGATCTTAGATACTACCCTAAAAAGAATGAAATGCCCATCATTTTCTATAAAGAAATCATATTGGACAAAGGAGGCAAGAATATAATGACAGAGAAAAGACAGTCTCATCAGTAAGTGGTTGGAGGAAAATCGGACAGCCACATGTAAAAAGATGGAATTAGAACATTCTTTAACACCATATACAAAAATAAACTTGGGGGGAGGTACGGCTCAGTGGTAGAGCACGTGCTTAGCATGCACGAGGTCCTGGGTTCAATGTCAGTACCTCCATTAAGTAAATAAATAATAAAGAAAGAAACCTAATTACCCATCCCCAACAACAACAACAACAAAAAACTCAAAATGGATTAAAGATCTAAATGTAAGACTGATACTCTAAAATTCCTAGAAGAAAATATAGGCAGGACATTCTTTAACATAAATTGTAGCAATATTTTTTTGGATCTGTCTCCTAGAGTAATGGAAATAAAAGCAAAAATGAACAAATATTACCTAATTAAACTTAAAAGCTTTTGCACAGCTAAGGATACCACAACAAGACAAAAAGACAACCTATGGAATGGGAAAAAGTACTTGCAAATGATGTGACTGACAAGGGACTAATTTCCAAAACATACACATAGCTTTTACAGCTCAATATCAAAAAACAAACAACCCAATTGAAAAATGGGCAGAAGACCTAAACAGACATTTCCCCAAAGAAGACATACAAATGGCCAATAGGCACATGAAAAAATGCTTAATATCGCTAATTATCAGAGAAATGCAAATCAAAACTACAATGAGGTATCACCTCATGCCAGTCAGAATGGCCATCATTCAAAAGTCCACAAACGATAAATGCTGGAGGGGCTGTGGAGAAAAGGGAACCTTCCTACACTGTTGGTAAGAATGTAAATTGGTGCAGCCACTGTAGAAAATAGTATGGAGGTTCCTTAAAAAACTAAAAATAGAGTTACCATATGGTTCAGTAACACCACTCCTGGGCAGATATCTGGAAAAGACAAAAACTCTAATTCAAAAAGATACATGCGCCCCAGTGTTCATAGGAGCATTATTTACAATAGCCAAGACATGGAAGCAACCTAAATGTCCATCAACAGATGACTGGATAAAGAAGATGTGGTATATTTATACAATGGAATACTACTCAGCCATAAAAAAGAGTAAAATAATGCCATTTGCAGCAACATGGATGGACCTAGAGATTATCATATTGAGTGAAGTTAGGTCAGAGAGAGAAAGTCAAATATCATATGATATCACTTGTATGTGGAATCTTAAAAAATGACACAAATGAACTTATTTACAGAACAGACTCGCATAGAAAACGAACTTATCAAAGGGGAGAGAGGGGAGGGATAAATTAAGAATTTGGGATTAACAAATACATACTACTATATATAAAACAGATAAACAACAAGGACCTATTGTATAGTTATTAGAATAACCTATAATGGAAAAGAATCTAAAAAGAATATAAATATATATGTATGTATAACTGAATCTTACTCTGCTGTACACCAAAAACTAACACTGTAAGTTAACTAAACTTCAATTAAAAATTTTTTTAAAAAAAGAAGTCATATTGGACTGATAATCAGGAGACCTAAAGGTTACTGACCTAGCTTCACCCTCAACCGCCTGTGTGGCCTTGGGTAAGTCAGTGATAGTTTATTATTTCCCCTGTCATTCATGGGTTCATGGATGTATACACAGAACATGTCTGGTGGTCCCAGCTAAGCTTCCCCACACCCCACCACAAAGGTTTACTGAGTGTAGCCTATATATGGAAATGTACACCAATCTTAAGTGTATAGCTTGACGAATTTTGACAAGGCGACACAACCATGTCATTAGCATTCAATAAGACACGGAAAGTACTGGTATGAACATTTTAAAGGACATTTTACACACGGTGGTGCTGCCTTGCAGACTGTATGAACTGTGATTTGAATTCTCACGATTTTGTCGGGCACCCCCCAGCCCGTCCTCAGACATTTCCAGGGTGGTCTCACACTGGCCCCAGGAAGGCTGCAGACCTCTGCCGAGACTGGCCCTGGCCCTGGCCCCCGCCCAGCCTTGCTCCTCGCTGCTGCACAACATGCCGCCTCGGACCGAGACAGTTGCTGCTCACCTTCACTTGGACTATCGCCACAGCCCCAAATCCATGCTCCTTCCAACCAAATCACCCGCCTGGCGCCGCCTTCCTCCGCCCAGTTCGCCCACATTGAGCTCTGTCTTCCCAGCATTTGTATCGTCCTCAAAGCCAGCATTTCGTGTTTTAAGAGGTAATCGTTCTCTAACTCAAGTTTACTGATTCTGACTCCGGGGTCTCCCTGCAAACTCCCCCTTTTTACTGCCAGTAGCCAGTGAAACATATATTCTCCTTCAACCCACACTGACCAGAGAAGTGGCCAGTGACCCGCAGCTGTCAGGCCCCTTGAGCAGCCCAGGGGGCTCTGGCTGCACTGGCTGCTGGGGCTGGTCCCCCCCGGAGACGGGCACTGGCTCAAAGGATCACACAGTGTGCAACCTTTTGGGTGACTTACTAGGGTCGCTGAATTATTCTAAGTCATTGTATCAACGTGTGGGCATCAGCTGAAGCAGCTGCAGTTTTGTCCTGCAGATGGTCCTATATTCGGGATTTTGTAGACTGTGTCCCTGAGGCCTCATGTGAAAGAGTCCGAATGTCCCCCCTGTTTCCTATACACTGGTGTATCTAGACTTGCCATCCTAGGGGGCTCGTGAGACTTAGGTTTGATATTTTTATCAAGGAAACTTAAAGGTGGTGATGAAGTTAAAAATTAGGTAGCCAGTAGTGGCAGAGCACGTGCTTAGCACACATGAGGTCCTGGGTTCAGTCCCCAGTACCACCATTTAAAAACAAAAAAGCTTATTTACCTTCCTACCAAAAATTTTTTTAAAAATTAGCTAGCTGAGTTAATTTATTAAGTTATTTTATTAATATTATGATTAATTATAGTATATATCATTTATTATATCACAACTCTAATATTATGATTATATTATATACCATTATATATTATATTAATTAATATGGCTAATTAATATTATACTATTAATATTATGAGGCATTTATTATTTTTTGTAAAAGTCATCTAGACATATAGAAAGTCCAATTAGAGTTTTTCATTTTTTAATGAGATCATCAGTGTTATTATAAAATAAAATTGCAGTCAACATTACAGAAGCTTGATGTTTACCAGCCCACACAGTCTTACTGTGGGATACTGCTATTTCTATTAGGGTTTGGGATACTCGATACCTTGGCTGTAAACGACTGATGTGAAATTTCTCTCCCCACTTCAGACACGGGAAAGTGCCGGCTCTGGACTGAACCGTGTCTTCCCCAAGTCCATACTCCCAGTGTGGCTGCATCCGGAGGGCTTTGAGGAGGCAATTTAGGTTAAATGAGGTCACAAAGGTAGGGGCCCAACCCAACAGGATTAGTGGCTCATAAGAAGAAGAGAGATGGCTCATTTGCTCTGTCTCTGTGAGCACATGCGGAGGAGAGGACACACGAGGACACAGGGAGGAGGTGGCCGTCTGCAAACCAGGATGCGAGCACTCATCAGAAACTGACCCTGCTGCCACCCTGACCTTGGACTTCTAGCTTCCAGAAATGTCAGAAAATCAGCTTCTGTTTTTCAAGCTATTCAGCCACATGATATTTTGCATGGCAGCCTGAGCTGACTAACAGTGCCAAAATTAAAAGAAAAAACCCAAAAACCTGTGGAACTGAATTGTTATCTATAAACATCCCAAATTTTCACGTTGAAAACTCGTGAATACAGGGTACATTAACAACACCATGTGGCCCAGATCCTTCTGGCTTATGCCCTCTAGGGAGTGGATCTTAAATTAACTGAGCTTGGCAGAACCTGTCCTTTTTTTTTTTTAAACCATTAACACCTTGGCAGTGGGAGGAACGGACTGCAACGCTGCCAGGCCTTTTCAGGGATAGATATTAAGTGCAGATGAATGCTGTGAGATTCCACATGTCAGCACTGAGAAGCTCATTCAAGTATTTATATTACGCTTGGCCAGAGAGGGCCATGAAAGATTGATGAGTCCTGGAAAAGAAAGACGTTGTACAGACTCAGTCTGGATTCTGTGCTGCGGGAGTCCTAGGACTCTGTGGGACTGATGCGGAAAGTCCATCCAAATCCCATGAATCTGGGCAACAAAACTACCCACGGAAAATATTTAATCTACAGAAGAAAAGGCTTAGAAAATACCAGGTAGACATATGTTTACATATTATTAGGAATATTATTGAAAAACTTTATGTCAGGCACGGATTCTAAGTATTTTCTATACATTACCCCACTTCAATAGTAAAATGAACCCCAAAAGGTAGGGATTACTATCTTAATCTATAAGTAAGAAAGAAAGACTATACAATGTTACCCGGTTGGCCTGACAGCAAATCAGTACTTAATATTAGAATGTTATCATCTATAATGCGGCCTTACTGGAAACGCAGTCATCACTGAATTCAACCTGTAGGAAAGAGCGATTTTCCCAAGGTTAATTTTTCACCAGAAGCCCTAGTGGTGACTGCTTGAAGGTCTGTCGTTCTCAGTATTCTGGTTCTAACCAGTAGACTGTTATCCACGGCATGGGCACAGTATGGTCACGAGATATGTAACCCCATGGTGAGCCACGACACAGGGACCTAGAAACAACCAGTATGCTTTGAACCAAGACACTCTAGTTGGAAAATAAAAAAACTGAAAGCTCATCTGAAGGGTTGAATCAAAATACAAGGGAGAGAAACAATTCTGACTTTGAGGAGGTGACCTTACATTTCTACTGCTATGTGATTTTTTAAAAGTTAACTTATGTTGTTCACAGCCATAAATGTGGGGCCTCGGTCAGCTGAGAGCAGGCAGGCATAGTTCATCACCTGTTCATGACCGCATTCTCCTAACTTCTTTTTTTTAATGGAGGTATTGGGGATTGAACCCAGGACCTCGTGCATGCTAAGCACGTGCTCTACCACTGAGCTATACGGCCACCCCCACCCATTTGCCTATCTTCTGCAACTACCTGCTATTCCCATTTATATTATTAAACTGTTTAGCTTCACACCGTATCTAGATAAATATCTGTTTTGACTTACAAAACTCACAGTTGTCAGGGGAGGGCCAGGGTCTTTAAGGCGTAGAGTTCAAGCATCCAGCTGAGGCTGGAAGCCTAGTTCCAGAGTCTCGACTGCAGGCTGCCCTGTCCACGCTTCAGGACGAGAGGTCCCCACACTCCGAGCCAGCAGACGCTTACCCAGATGCCAGCAGGGACCAGGCTTCTTTCATGTCTGTGTATTCAGCGTGTGGTACAGTGTGTTTAACGACCAGACCTGTTAATCGGTATGCTCTGACACAGAGATTCAGTAATTACAAATCCAGGTAGTTGTAGATTCATCCTTCCCCACCCTGTCCAAAAGGACACCATGAGAGACCTTGCTGAAATCCTGATCATAACAAATACACTGTGTGTACGAGGCTGAAAATGATGTTGAGAAATTGAGACTGCTTTGCTCTTCAGGGTCTTTGTGCCCCAATGGCGGCTCCTCGGTGATCAGTACTTTCTCTTCTAAGAACTCACTGATCATCCCTTTAGTATTTCACTTGGATTGGTTCATGACCCCGTCACGGTCCCTGACGCAGTTTTCCAGAAAATAATAATAACGTTTATTGCATTATGTGCAAATGCACTTGCTTCGTTATGATCTAAGTGTTCTCTGTGTGCGTGGGTGTGTGTGTGTGTGTGTGTATGCTTGCTCTATTTAATCCTCACAACAATTTTATAAGGTAGGTACCAGGGATGTTTGTTTTTTTCTTCTCTAGCGTCCACTTCCATCTTCTTTTGACAACAGCTCCCAATTTCTCTTTGATGATAGTTTTCCTTCATTGTCAGCTTAAGAGAGCAGAGTGGGCCAGATGCCAGGGCTCTGAGCAATCTCGAACTACGTTTCAGCTCCATGAACTGCAGCGGATGGCTTCCCGCCTTCCTTCTGGCGGGGTGGTGCTGAGCAGATTTTATGCTCCGGATCAGTTTTCACTCCCACGCTGATGTACATCGTTTTAGAATTAAGTCACATTAACTGAGGCAACCAGAGTACGTATCTGTTCTCAGCAAAGAGTTCTTTCCCCTGAGTTCTCAAAATAACTGTGAGTGCCTCTTTGATGACCAGTGTTTAAGATCTTTAAGTAAGTCGTTGAGGGGCACCCAGGTCTTTCTTCCCAGACCACGGAGCTGGAAGACCAGGGTTCAAGTCTTCCACCTGCCACTTGCTAACTCTGACTCTGCAAGTCACACAACTCCTGAGTGTCTTTATCTTCCAAATGAGTTCTTTTTTTAATTAAAAAAAATTTAAAGGTTTATTTATTTAACGGATGTACTGGGGATTGAACCGAGGACCCCGCGCGTGCTAAGGATGCGCTCTACCACTAAGCTATACCTTTCCTCCTCCAAATGAGTTCTTTGTGTTTGTGAATTCACGTCTTGTGTGGATGTTCCCAACGGCTCCTCAGCCTCCACTCCAGGGAGGTTTAGGGGCACTGGCTCCCTCACCTCTAACACTGGGGGTGGGTACTGATTGTGCTAAAGTCAGATGGTACCCCCTTGGCCAGGGGGGTTGCTACAGGGGTGGATATGTGAGTCGTCAGCCTAGTTCCAAAATGAAGCCCAGGACATATTCCCATGATGGGGAGAGGAAAAGACCCTTTTCTTTCTTCCTTGATGTAAATGAAGGAGCAGGTGATCCCCGTCATTACATCAGTCATTTCACTGTGGTTTTACCAGCAGACCCGCCCTCAGGATAACACTGGTCTCATGAAGGCAGAGTAGAGAATGGGGAAGAAATGGGGCTTTGGTGATCTCAGTGGACAGCTGGGTGTCACCTCCCGCCTGAAGCCTCCAGCCTCTGCACTCTGCACTAACAGGCTACCTGTTTAGCCAGCTTCAATAAGGATTTCTATTCCTTCAGCTAAAAGTGTCCAAGAGAGAAGACAGCGTAAGCCTCTCTTATGCCAAAGTCTCAATTCCTGTTAGCTCTTTGACTCAATCTTAGGTTGGTCAAAATCTCAAGCCTGTATCAGCATATTTGCAGGCCGACACCTGGGTCGCTGAACGCCAAAGAAGTAACAGCTCCGTAGACCAGCGAGAGTACACAATTGCTCTCTGACATCTGCTGGCCGTCCTGATGCCTGGAATCCCTTCGAGGAGTTCTTCGTGACTGCTTTTTTCTCAGGAGCTATGTCGAACCTTTATCATTCTCACGTTTTTCACTCTGTTTTTTTTCTCCCTTAGTCTCAGTGATGAATCTGACCCCCATGTCACAGGGAAACCAAGGACTGACAGTTAAGATTTTTCAGTCGTTTATCTACTGCCACCTAATGCTTCAAAAGGTAGGAGCTTCAGAAAACAGAGATCTGTCATCTCACAGTTTCTGTAGGCTGGGAAGGTGGGAGTGGTGTGGCTGGGTGGTCCTGCTTCGGGGCCTCTCAGGTTGCTGTCAGGCTGGGGCTGCCATCATCTGAAGGCATGACTGGGGCTGGGCTTTGTCCTGGGTGCTGAGTGTCCACCCCACACGGCAGCTGGTGCCCCCTCCGTGTGACTCATCCGAGGGATGAGAGCAGGGAGGACCCTGTGTTGCCCCCAGTCAGGCACCATCACTTCCGCCACATTCTACTCCTTGGAAACAGGTCACTGGATCCCATTTGTGCACAAGGGGTGGGGGGCAGGCTCCCCTGTTTGGAGGGAAGGGCGCTGAAGGATCTGTGGTCCTACTTTAAAACCACAATTCTCAGTTCTCATCTCACTTGAAAGCTTTTCTCCAGCGGAACCGCCTGACCTCTCGCGTCCTCTTCTCAGCTGCAAGCCCGCCCCTTCCCTCGGGCCCTGGGCTTTATTGGCCTCCTCATCTCACCATATTAACACACTTGGGTCTCTCTTTTTTTTTTTGATTTAAAAACGTCATTTATTCATAAATATGTCTTTGTCAGGTGTGACTGTCCAGCCTGCTGTGGCCATACTTGGCCATGTCGATCAGGCTCTGCACACTTAGGTCTCTTATCTTAAAAAAAAAATCCTCCATCAATATGCATCCACCTTTAGGTTTTTTCCCTTCCCTTTATGGTTAATAGTTTTTTTTTAAATTTACTTTTTATTTTTGTTGTTTTTTTGGAGGGGGTAGGATATCAGACTTACTAATTATTATTATTTTAATGGAGGTCCTGAGGATTGAACCCAAGACCTTGTGCATGCTAAGCACTTGCTTGACCACTGAGCTATGCCCTCCCCCCTCATCCTGCTGTTTCTAACAAGCAGCACTCCTGATGACTCTGTTGTGGGGGGTAAGGGATTGCACTCTGAAGCCACGGCTGGAAGCCATCTTCACTTCCTCATCTCTCCATTCCCTCCTTGAGCTGCTGCCGCCTGACTGGCCTCTCCATGGGAGCATCTTCCCCGAGCTCTTTGGTGACCTTCTCCATCTGGTGGTCCGATCCAGGCAACACTTTCATTCTTCTTTGACTTGACTTCTCTGGGGCATCTGATGCTGCTGACCGAGCCCTCGCTCCGGGGGTGGCAATCTCCACGCATTTTCCTTAACCTTCTCCGGTCGCTCCTTCTCAGTTCTCTTTGCATCTGTGGTCTCGTCAGTTTGTGTAGTAGTTTTACCCAATTCCAGGGCTGCATCCCCTACTCATACGTTGGCCACCCCTATGTCTGTGTCTCTTGTCCAGATCTCACCCTTGAACTGAAGACTGGATGGCCTCAGCTTCCTAGAACCCGCGTTCTCGACTTTCCAGGTGGCTCCTTTGTGGTCTCCCCTTCTGGTAATTTCATGTCTTTCTAGCCTCCACGTTTGCCAACATCCAGTCCTGGAACCACCGGCCTTGTCATTTTACCCTGTCTCCCCAGGAAACCTCCTCTTCAAAGCCTCTGAAGCTGGATGACTAGTCCCTAATTTTCATTTCCGGTCAAATCGACTTTCCAAGTTCTAGATCCAAATGTCAAACTGCCTACAACTACACTACTTTCTAGATGTTTTCACAAATTTCTAAAATTTGACATGTGAAATTTTTTATCTTCCCCCTTCTTCCTCCAGACACCCCAATTTCAGTGGTGGCACAACTCTCCACCAAGCTGCCCAAACAAAATGCATGCAAATCATTATCCTTGACACCTTCCTCACTCTTTGGGTCTAATCTAGTGTCAGGTCCCATCTACAGTATTTACAAAAATCTCAAATCTGCCTACTTCTTTACATCTCCCGTCCCCGCTCCAAACCATCATCGCCTCTTATCTGAGTTACTGCAGCAGCCTCCTAATTAGTTCCCTCTATGTGTATCCTTTTTTGGGGGGTGGGGATGGGGAATTAGGTTTATTTATTTTAATTTTTTTTTTAAAGGGAGGCACTGGAGATTGAACCCAGGACCTCGTGCATGCTAAGCACACGCTCTACCACTAGGCTGTACCCTCCCCCCCAACTTGCATTCTTGTCCACACAAGAGTGACCTCAAAATACAGAGAACGTCACTTCCTACTTGCTTTGGATACAACAGAAAATGCTTACCACAGGCTCCTCCTAGACTGCGTTACTCCCCAGCGCTCTCCCCTCTGCATCGCAGCCACAGACGACCTTCTCTCAGTTACACGAAATTCACTGTTACGGACTGAATGTTTGTGTGCTTCCAAAATTCTCATGTCAAAGCCCTAACCCTCAATGTGACTGTATTGGGAGACAAGGTCTTTAGGAAGTGCAAAGGTTGGAGGAGACCCTAAGGATGGACCCTGACCGGCCATGGTTGGTGCCCTTATTAAGAGGAGGAAGAAGCACCACAGCCCCGCCTCTCTGCTCACACGCTTGTACGCACACCCAGCGAGGGTTGCACGAACACACAGCAAGAAGACAGCCCTTCTGCAAACCAGGAAGAGAGTCCTTGCCAGAAACCAACCAAGCAGGCACCTTGATCTTGGACTTCTCGCCTCTAGGGCTGTGAGAAGATACGTTTCTGTCGTGTGAGCCCCCAAGTCTGTGGTATCGTGTCATGGCAGCCCAGGCAGCCCGGGACATGCCCCGATTCCTTCCTCCTCTAGTGTAAATTCTGTCTGGAGTACTACTTCTTTTTTGTGTAATTTCTTCTTACTCATTCTTCAGGCTTTAGCTTAAATATCACTTCCTCAGAAAGGCTTTCCCTTGTTCCCTGATCTGCATTGTTGTCCCCTATTATAGTCTCTCCTTTTTCCTTCAAAAAGTTGGGTCTCCTTTGTGTGATTCTGTCCTCGAATGCACTGGGGTCAGTGTGAGCCCCGAGGATGGTGAGATGGAACCCCTATTCTCACTGGGCGGACAGACATGAGTTATAATGTGCTGTATGTAATGTTTCCGAGGGAACATTGGGGGCAGAGGTGATGATGGTTAAAAGTTTAAATTAAAAAAAGAACGTCATGCTTTAATGATCGTGCAAACTGAAACTGTGTTTAAGACTTTAAAGTCATTCCTAAAAAATTTTTTTAAATTGAAAAAAATAATAAAGTCATTCCCAGAGTCGTCAAATTCAGAGAGACAGAAAGTAGGGTGGTGGGGGCTGGGGGCCGGGGGCTGGGGACGGGGAGTGAGTGTTGAAGGGGGACAGAGCTTCAGTTTAGGAAGATGAGAAAGTTCTGGAGCTGAATGGGGGCGATGGCTGCACAACAATGTGAATGTACTTAATGCCACCGACCTGCACACCTACACATGGTTAACGTGGTACATTTCATGTGCTGGGTGCCTCACCACGATGAAAGGAGGTGATTTACAGTCAGTCAGAACCAATCTTTATGTCAGTACTCACGAGGGCGCGATGTCCAGGTGGTTGATGCTGAATCCGGAGGAGCAAAAGCCTCCCAGGGTTGTCGATATGGTCAGGAACGCGACAGCCAAGGAATAATCACAGCCTATAAATCCAGCGGCTACTAGGAATACCGCGGGGCCAATCATCCCTGGAGTTACAAAGTTATTAAAAAAAAAAAAGAGGCCCCGGCATTAATATCTGCTTGTACTACTTTACTTAATACAGTACAAACCTGAGAGATTTGATATTACTGCCACCTACCGGAGGAACACTGTACTAACTAGAAGACGCAATTTAAATCACGTTGTTTCATGAAACAAAACTTGCTGGAAAACATGCAAGATTAAAGCAACTATCATAAAAGTAAAAGGAAAATCTCATTATACAATGTTATTAAGTCTATATAGATGACTGGGACTCAGCTAAAGTTCTACAATGTTGAAGAAAGAGCAAGAGGATGACAGGAAAATACAGTTCTGGAGAGAAGCAACGGTTGACACAGAATGTGTGATTCAAAATTCACATAATCCAAGAAGAGAAACCAAAGACAGAACTATTGTCGCATAAAGTGAGGAAAACAGTCCAGCTGGGTTTTGACACCTGAAGACGATTCGTGTAGTTTACTACAGGCAGTGGAGCATAAAATACAATACAGGAAGGGACTTGGCTAGCGCGGGCTGCCGGTTCTCCTCTGTGATGAGGGAAATGTATTTGCGTAGACGGCAAAAGAGGAACTCGTTTTAACATTTCAATCACGTTTAAATAGCCACACATGGCTTAGTGGCTGCAGTACTGGATAGGGCAGGTCCACAGAAAGCCGAAAAAGAGAAAACCGAATGAAATCCAAAGGGATTTATTTCACTTGCAGACGTGGAAAAATTTCTTTTGCGGGTCAAGGACAGGAAGCAGGGGGCAGAACAGCACATTCTAGGTGACGGTGCTCAGGAGTTTGCAGAATTACACCAAACGGGGCCCTTCACAATGCGATGACTGAAACACAGCCGCCAGCGACTTAGAGGGTCCCTATTTACTTGAACAACTGTCCTCAATGGTTTTAAAATTTACTTTTCTGAAATCAGAGTCTGAAACACACGACTGTTTAAGGCTCCTTGGAATTCTTTGATAGCTCCTCATTTGACATAACGATGTTAGTATATAATTTTGATTCAAATTTAAAATGTATTCACTTAGAAAAGGGATGGAGACCTCAAAATCTTATTTTCATTGCAAACTTAGAGCTGAAAACAAAGTGATCTATAAAATTCTGGGGAAGACACTCAGCAAAGCAAGCCATTTGTTATAGTTACAAGAGTATGGGAGAGATAATAGGATATTATCCATCTTTTTTTGTTTTTGGGGGTTCTATTTTGGCAGGGGGAAGAAATTCAGTTTATTTATTATTGTTATTACATATTTTTAATGGAGGTACCAAATATTATGTAAATCTTAATCCTCAAAAATGCATCGTTTGAAAAGAACCAGATGTATGTACAGAAATGCTCTACATGCATTAAAACATACTGTTTCAATATGGGAACCAAAAATGACTATTATCACTTTAATTTTGCCTTGCATTATAAACACAGTAAATCATTGTAAACCAAAGCAAAACCGTATTCCCCTTCACCTACCTATAAGGGTAAAAAGTCTCCGAACACACAGAGTTGAAAAATTCCACTTTGCCCGTAAGTTGTCGGCGGCTTGGCCAGACAGAATCATACATAACCAACAGCCAAAATAAGGGACTGCAGATAAAACCCCATTCTGGAAGGAATAAGATGATTCAAGGTTAACTACGGAGGGGGGAAGACCCCAAACAACACACACACACACACACACACACACACACACACACACACACACGTTTGAAAGCAAAAGAAATATACAGCAAAATTCTGCTTTTATGTAACTATAGTCAATAAGTCAGGTTTTTAGAAGGATGATGGGATTCAGTTCAATGTGGTCCCAGAGAGCCTGTCTCAGAGGGAACCAGAGCTGTGCTCAAGCGAATCCTGAATGTTACTTTGGGACCTGGGCTGTGGCTTCAGTGAGAGAAGACATCTTCTTATCAGCCTATGGATTCTCCCCATTGAGCAGTTTTCACTGATATATTTACAAAAATTTTTTTATTATAAAATAAAAGCCAGATACTGAAAGCCACACAAGTCAAGTGTAGAACTTTATGAACTATTCTAAGGTGAGCACCATGGAGGTCAGGTGCCCGGGGCACTAGCTCATGCTTGAGCAGAGGACCGAGGTGGCCAGATGACAGGTGGCCAGGTGACAGGGGGAGGTGAGGTGACAGGGAGAGCTCTACTTTTTCTCTTTTCCTGTGAGTTACCACCTAAACAAAATGAAAACGCTAGGAGATAGGAAACAGAATTAATCGTGGAAATGTGTTACTGGCTTTGTAGGAAATGATTTGACAGTCAGCTTTTTAGGAAATCACAAATTCTATAAAATGAAGAAAATATACACAGAAAAAAGAAAAATGCTTTCTATTCACAGCTTTCCTCCACACAAACCTGAAGTGCCAAGACCAAGCGGCCCAGATCTGATAAAAACGAATGATTTTATAGTCTGAGAGAGATGGTGTGCCTGCTAGAGGTTTACAAATACAAAAAAGGTAGAAAGACATTTTACCAGTGGTATTTAAATCTGGTAATAATTCGACCTAAGCATCACGGATGGTACAGAGCAGCAAAATTTGTCAATATTTTAAATGTTCTGCTTCTGTGGCTGAAGATTTTTGTTTCCTTCTGGTATTAAGCTGAGTAATGTCCTCTTTAAATTTTATTCCACTTCTAATTCTGCATAGTGAGGTCACATCTATCATAATTTGTGGCAGAATCCTAGACACGAATCAACTGCAGCAAACAGGGAAGCGAATTTTCTGATCTTGGCCTCGTTCCCTGGTCGGGTAAGCCCGGTAATCTATCAGAGGTACTGAATTTTTCCACTTAAGAGTTCTACTGGTTAAAAACTCTGCCAACAACCTGAAACTACTAAAATCTTCAACATTTATACATCCGTGGGCAGCTTCCACAGTTGTTAAGCATTCTGTTCATGGTTATGGTTCATCGTCTTCATTTATTCAAAAAAGTCATTCAAAAATGTAAATATCCAAAACAGGGTAACAGATACTGCCCTAACTCTCACTGAGCTGTAAGAAATAGGGACAGTAGGGAAATAACTAGGAAAAAAGAAACGTGAACAGTACCTTGTAGCAACCTATAATGAAAAAGAATCTGAAAAGGAATATATGTATGGATATGTATTATGCTGTACACCAGAAACTGACACAACATTGTAAACTACTTTAATAAACAAGAATGCAAAAAAAATAGTGAAGGTAACCAATGAAACTAAGCTTATATAAAAAAGCAAGACTGTAACAAAGGATCAAGAGCTCTAAAACTTTTAATTAATGAGATTACAATTTTAAATACAATGCTTCTCAAAGCAAACTTTATTTTGAACAAAGCTCATTTCTTGAATGTAATATATTGATTTTCAAGAAAAAAATCCATTAAAAAAGAGGCTGCTATACAAGAAGATTATTTTCAAACTCTATTCACATTTCTTTTAATTTTGATTCAGAAAGAAAATGCCTTTTTGTGTATGAAAATGCAAGATAAAAGATTTTAGTTTAGGGGGGAGGGTATAGCTCAGAGATAGAGTGTTTGCTTAGCATGCATGAGGTCTTGGGTTCAATTCCCAGTATCTCTACTTAATAAACGCATACATGAACCTAATTACCTCCTCCCAACTCTGCAAGAAAGGAAAAAAAAAGCTTCATATTTAACTTTAAAAAAATTTTTTGCATTCTTTTTTATTGAAGTATAGTCCGTTTACAATGTTGTGTCAATTTCTGGTATACAGCATAGTGATTCAGTCATACATATATGTATTCTTTTTCAAATTCTTTTCCATTATAGGTTATTATAAGATATTGAATATAGTTCCCTGTGCTATACAGTAGGAACTTGTTTATCTATTTTATATGTAGTAGTTAGTGTCTGCAAATCTCAAACTCCCAATTTATCCCTTCCCACCCACTTTTCCCCCTTGGTAACCATAAGTTTGTTTTCTATATCTGAGTCTTTCATGTTCGACTTTTTGAGGGAACTGCCAACTATTTTCCACAGTGGCTGCACCATTTTTCGTTCCCAACAGCAATATATGAGAGCTCCATTTCTTCTACATCCTCACCTACACCTGGTTTTTTTTCTTTTTTCTTTTTTTTTTACGAGGGGGAGGTAATCGGGTTCATTTAGTTATATTTAGAGGAGGTACTGGGTATTAAACCCAGGACCTCATGCATGCTAAGCATGCACTCTTAACGCTTGAGCTATACCCTCCCTCCCCCTTTTTTTATTCTAACAGATGTAAAGTGGTATCTCATTGTGGTTCTGACTCACATTTCCCTGATGAGTCATGATGTTGAGCATCTTTACATGGGCTTTTGATCATTTGAGTATCTTCAAATGTCTATTCGAATCCTTTGCCCATTTAAAAAATTGGGTTATTTATCTTTTCATTATTGAGTTGTATAAATTCTTTCTATATTCTGAATACAAGACCCTTATCAAACACAGGATTTGCAAATACTTTCTCCCATTCAGTACCTTTTCAGTCTTGATAGTGTTTCTTGAGGCACAGAAGTTTTCCATTTTGATGAGGTCCAATCTATTTTTTTCTTTGGTCCCTGGTGCCTTTGGTGTCACATGTAAGAAACTGCTGCCTAGTCTAGGGTCCCAAAGATGTACAGCTTCTAAGAGTTTTTATCATTTTAGCTCTTACATTTAGGTCTTGACTTATCCTTCAGTTTGAAAGCAAAAACACTACTGGTTTTTCTTACAAACTCTGCCGCTTTCTCTTTAAAGCTTTTCTTCCATCTCTTTAAAGACAAAATCCATCAACAGAGATAATAGGAACTGTCTCAGTTGGATGAGTTCAAAAGGAACCGGCAGCTTCAGGAAGGCCCGTCATACCCAGTTTTACAAGCACAGCTCTGCCAACGCCTGGATCACGCTGCAGAGCAACCTCCAATCAAGCACGTCGCGCCTCCCTCTCGGCCGCCAGCAGAATCCTGCTGCCGTCCCTTTAGGAAGGGACTAGGGTGCCACCTGCATTTATCATCTGAGATCCTGACCAGTGACTGGGGATGGGCAAGACCTTTATGGTTAAAGGTGTTGCCAGCCAAGACACCCCGAATCAAGACCTGACACACACTGAGGAAAAGAACGAGCCAGGCCCAAAAGAGCAGATTTAGAGATACTAGAATTTAGTGTATCAGAACAGAACAGAGGTTGCAAAGTAACCGAGTTTCACGCAGATAAAAAACAAATTCTGTGTAGTCTTGGTGAGAAGAAGATGCTTAATTTTCCTTACCTCTTGAATATTGAACCTTAGGACCTCCTTCATGTAAGTAGGCAATAATGTCAATAAAGTATAAAAAGTCCAGTTGTAAGAAAAATGTGCAACCACAATAGCCCACAGTGGCAGTGACTTTAGCATGGGGATCCATGGCACTGACTTCTGAGACGAGAGCTGGAAAAAAAGGTGTAATTAAGATAAGCTCCAGCCATGTTGATGCTGTGTTCAAATCTGTACCTTATCAGCTGAAATTCCACCTAGAACACATTACCAACCTTGATGAGTAAATGCCAGTTTTAAACAACTCTTTTGAAATATTAAACAGCAAGAGAGAGTCCATGGGGGAGCGTATACTCTAGTGGTAGAGTGCCCGCCTAGCATGCACAAGGTCCTGGGTTCAATCCTCAGCACCTCCACTAAAAAAAAATGAAAACTTAATTACTTCCTCCTCCAAAATAAAAAATAAAATAGAGAGTCCATGATTCAGATGAGAAGAAAAAACAGACAAGACATCTCAGAGCTATCATGTCAAACAAAATATGCCTTCTGAAGGTCAGAGGACACTGCAGTATTAATTTCTCCACCTCAAAAAATAGAGAACAGTTTAATAATCGAGTTCAGAGGCTGACATAACAGGGCGAAGGAAAGAGACAGGAAGTCCTATTAGGATTCATCCTTCGTTCTCCAATCTTTATTCAACTACAATGACTTATAGGAACTGTGGAACAGCAGGGTCTTTCTCCCGGCACCCGGAGTGACTCCAATGCAGGGTGTCAGCACCCCAGGGGTGTACAAGAGAATCCATGGTGGTGTGGAAAGGCAGAACAGAGCTTCTGGCTATACTTGCTTTTATTCATTTTTTAAAAAAATTTTTTACTGAAGTGTAGTTGACTTAGAATGTTAGTTTCAGGAGTTACAGCAAAGTGATTCAGTTATACATATACATACAGATAAATATTTTCTTTTCAGATTCTTTTCCATTATAAGTTATGACAAGAAATTGGATATACAGTTCCCTGTGCTGTACAGTAGGTTATACTCACTTTAATTTTAAAAAAAGAAATTAAGCTGAATCAGTATTTCACATACAGGTCAGCCCTGGAGTGTGCACAGTCACGTACTGTAGGATCTCCCCGACTCCAAGGGGCTAGTGGCACCACACCTGCTGGCCTGCCCTCAGTGCAGGGCGACAGCATATTCCACTTCACACCTGCCTGCCAGGATTAATGTATGGGTTCGACTAGCCAGTTGGGTTTTTTTAAATTAAAAAAATATTTGGGGTGGAGGAGGTAATTAGGCTTGCTTGCTTATTTATTTATTTACTTTTGTTCAGATTTTTTAATGGAGGTACTGGGGATTGAACCCAGGACCTCGGGCATGCTCAGCATGCACTCTTACCACCTGAGCTATCCTCTCCCCCTTATCATTACTCATTTTTAAGTGATAAAAAGGTTTTTCCCAGTAAAATTCAAAACTTCTGTGTACTCTGTTTATTTCATCTTATTCACCTTTCAAAAAGTCTATTTTTATATAAGCTTTAGGATGTACACAGGTACAGTAGTACATGTGGATAACCAAAGTAAATCTGCACATACTCGGACGGGCACCCCTCTTCCCTTCCTCCCGCACAGCCCCAGGCTGTGCTAACGCAGGATTAAGGAAACTGGAGCCCGCCGGTCTGGGCATCAGACCCACGCGTCTCCTACACACTGAGGCTCTGCGGTGTCTTCCTCAAAAGCTGGAACATCTATGTTTCTGCCTCCAGGGTTCATGGTTATTTCAAAAAGGGGAAGAACCAGCATTCACCTCCTTGTCGCCTTTTTTCCAGGGACTTTTGATCTGACTTGGTAGTGAAGGAGCAGGAGACTAATGAAACGGCTCCCCTGATGCTAAGCTGTCTGCTGATGCGTTATGGTCTAAAACTCTAGCAGCTGTTTTCTTCTTTTCTCTGACAAACCTCCATTTTCCTCTTTGCTTGCTCAGCCGCTTTTGTGCTCAACAGCCCCCAACCTTTCCATCACGCTCTCCACTCCCTATACATTCTTTGCCCAGAACAGCTCATCCTTTAACCCAGAAGCTGTGCTCCAGGAAGGTGCTCACCGGCTGACAGCCTCAGAGAATGAACAGACCCTCCGGAGTTTCTCTGTGACACCAGGTGGATTCATCAAGATTAAGAAGAATACAGCACCCCCACCCCCAGAAAATGCCCTGATTGTCGTGACCTTTCTGTTCTGTACAGTTTTTCTATAAAACCTCAGGACCCCAATGCCGAGACGGAGTCACAGTCTCTAAGGCATTATTAGCCTGTGTGACTCCCCTTTGCCTGGCAAAGCAATAAAGCTGTTCTTTTCTGATTCTCCCAAAACTCTGCCTCTGAGCCTCAATTTGGCCATTGGGGTACAGAGGCTGGTTTTTCGGCAACAGTAGCTATGCCTCTAGGTTCTCCACTATCTATCAAAGAGGCAGGGGGTGCGGGGGGAGAGAAGGAGGGGCAACATATATTCTTCTACAGGAGTGGTGGCCTGACTCTACCCTGGACCAAGAGAATCAAAGCCACAGCCATAGTTTGGTGCAGCCACTATAGAACACAGTGTGGAGATTCCTCAAAAAACTAAAAACAGAATTACCATATCACCCAGCCATCCCACTCCCGGGCATATAACCAGAGGGAACTCTAATTCGAAAAGATACATGCACCTCAATGTTCACAGCAGTACTGTTTACAATAACCAAGACATGGAAGCAGCCTAAATGTCCATCCACAGATGACTGCATAAGGAAGTTGTATATTTATACAATGGAATACTACTCAGCCATAAAAAAGAATGAAATAATGCCATTTGCAGTAACATAGATGGACCTAGAGATTATCATACTAAGTGAAGTAAGTCAGACAGAGAAAGACAAATACTGAATAACTTATATGTGGAATCAAAAAGAGCTGAACTCAGGCTAAGAGAGTAGAACAGAACGATGGTTGCCAGGGACTGGAGGGTGGGGGACAAACTCCCAGCTATAAGATGAGTAAGTTATAGGGATCTACCGTACAGCACAGTGACTGTACTTAACAATACTCTATTACATACTTGAATGCTGCTAAGAGAGTAGACAGTAAATGTTCTCACACACACAAAAAATGGTAACTACGTGAGGGGACGGAGGTGCTAAGTAACCCTACTGTGGTCATCATTTTGTAATATGTGAGTGTATCAAATCATCACCATTGTACATCTTAAACTTACACAGTGTAATGTATCAGGTGTATCTCAGTAAAGCTGGGGGTGGGTGTTGGAAAGAACAGCCTGACAGTCGGCAGGTTCTCTAGCTATTTATTTAGTGAGTATGTGGCCTACGGAGTCAGAGGATTAGAAGGAAGAATGTGATATGTACATGTTAGTGTTCACTTGTAAACTGGGCACAAAGCAATAGTTTTCTTTTCTCCTAATGAGGATTGTGAGATCAATTTATAGTATTGCCACATTATAAGTTATATTTTATTTTATTTTTTAAAATGTCAGTTCAACTGTTATTTTATTTTATTTTTTGTGGGGAGGTAATTAAGTTTGTTTGTTTGTTTCTTTCTTTCTTTTTTAACAGAGTTACTGGGGATAGAACCCAGGACCTCGTGCATGCTAGGCATGGGCTCAACCACTGAGCGATACCCTCCCCCTATAAGTTATATTTTAGGGAGGAAAGTCTTCATTTGTAAAAACATTCACGTTAAAGATGAATTTTCAAATATTACTAGGAGAAACTATCCAATTATCTGGCAGACATTAAAAAAAAAAATCCTTCCAGGTTTTAAGGTAGCACTGTCTAACAGAACCTTCTAGCAGATGACGGAAATGTTCTGCATTCCCCAATTAAGCAATATGACTAGTGTGACCAAGGAACTGAATTTTTAATTAAATTAGTTACAATTAAAATTTATGGGCACAAGGGCTAGTGGCTACCATAAAGGACAACAAACGTTTACAGTAAGACCTTAATAAAGGTCTAGCTTTTTCTGATGTTCTAGGAACAGAAGCTACCCTCTTGCTATTGTTTCTAAAACATTATGTCTGAGGTGACTTGTCAATCAAGCAATTTCCACCCTCTCTATGAATTCATTATACCTATATGTTGGCAAAACACATTATAAAAGTTCTTATCCGAGCCCTATATTCTTCTAAAATGCACTGCTGATAAATGAAAATAAACTGGGAAGGAACTTTTTTAATTGCTCAGAGATTCTTTGCCCAGCGAACATTTTGAAAGGAAATTTTCTTTAGATATTTGAACAAGGCAATTTTTGAAGGAACAATGAATGAGGTCTTGAATCTTATATGGAGAATGAATCATTAAATTAGTAATAATAGCTCAACCAGCTTTTTTTTTTCATACAAGTTGAAGCAGAAAAGGATAAAACAAAAATTTATTTCTTGTCAATTGTGCAAAATCTTCTAGACTATAGGTAGGCTAGTCTTGAATGAAGGTCATTTCAACAAATATTTGAGTTATCTTCCATGTATAAATTCACAAAAAAAGACTCCCTGTCAAATGTAAGCAACAGGAATTTGGATAATGGACATATCTGGGGACACACTAAGCTACCTTTCTACAGAATCTGGATAAACTGAAAGATTTCATAATTTCATAAAAATAATGGTAAAAATGAAGTAATGGAAGAAGCAAGCTACTGACCATCAATGTTGAGAAAAATGTGAGAAAACATATCAAATTTTTTCTTAAATTGAAGTATGGTTGACTTGCAATATTATATTAGTTTAGGTGTACAATATAGTAACTCAGTATTTTTACAGATTATGCAAAGTTATTATAAAATATTGACTATATTTCCCCACAACCTACATCCTTGTAATTTATTTAGTTTACATCTAGCACTTTGTACCTCTTAATCCCCTTCACCTGTTTTCCCCTCTTCCACCCCTTCTCTACTGGTAACCACTAGTTTGTTCTCTGAATCTGTTTCTATTTTAATAGTGGTTTGTTTGTTTTATTTTTTAGAGTCCACATATAGATACAGTATTTGTCTTTCTCTGACTTATTTCACTAAGCACAATACCCTACAAATCCATCCATGTTGTCACAAAAGACAAAATTTCGTTCTTTTTTATGGGTGCGTAGTATTCCAGGTGCATCAAATTCTTTTTATTTGTTCCTTGGGGGAAAAGGTGGGTGAGCTATTTGGTTAACATCACAGAGAACAATGAGATCTCCAAGTAGCTTTCTTTACTATATTCATCAGTGATTTCTCCTAAGCTTTGGCCAGTCTTTGGCAATGACCAAGGGATGCCATATTTCTTAAAGTTCAGCAGAATGTAGAGACATTGGTAGCCAAATGTAAAAACTGAAATGTGGGGGGAGGGTATAGCTCAGTGGTAGATCGCATGCCTAGCATGTACAAGATCCTGGGTTCAATCTCTGGTACCTCCATTAAAAATAAATATAGGAACAAATAAATAAACCTAATCCTCCCCCAAAAAAAACCCCACTTAAATGTGTATAAGTAAATGTTTAATTACTGCCTGGTTTACTATATATGAAAATTAATACTATCAATTATAATAACTTAATGGGCAAGAAAAGTTTTACATGAAGTATTTTTTGTTCCTAAACCAATACAGTGACTCTGAAGCCATTAAAATGCTCAAGAAAAGACTATATATATTTAAATTTTTCCTCATGTTCTTATGGTCTTCTTTTAATCTCCACAAAAGGCAGGCATTTTGTTTCCATGGCTTGAGAATTTACTATATTAAATTAGGACAGACTTTTATTTCTGACTTGCCATTGTGCTCAATTAAGTGAAATACGTTTTGCTTCAGTAAGCATAAATTTTTTTCTAAAGATCTACTCTAGAGGAGCAAACAGGTGTACATCATATTATATACCAGTAAATGTGCTGTCATTCTTGTTAAATCATGCTCATTTAACATACAGATAAAAATACACTAGTTTTCTAAAAACAAACATTTAATTATTTATTTTATATTTATTTTGTATTTATTATTTATTTATTTTAAAAACACTTTTGGGGAAGGGGAGATAATTAGGTTTATTTACTTATTATTAGGTTTTGGTTTTTTTTTAATGGATATACTGGGGACTGAACTCAGGACCTCATGCATGCTAAGCACACACTCTACCATTGAGCTATACCCACCCCCCTAAAAACTAACATTTAGAATGCAGCTATGATTCCTTTTTAAACAGCACTTTTTATTTTCTACTAATTAAGAAGAAAGACAAGGAAGACCCACTTGATAATCATTACTCTAGAAGGTTTAAAATAACTTAGAAAAGTAATTTTCCATATATTTAATCTAGAAACTATTAGAATCTCTCAGACAAAACAAACCAATACTTTGTACATTTATTTAATTTGCCTGCTCTACTTTGCCTAAAGTATGCACAACATAAATATCTATTTTAAAATTGGTATCTTAATTCTGAAGGAAAAAAGATTCTGAAATTATTTTTAAAATGTGCCAGAGTCCATACCTGATTTTTCAATGATGAAAGAATGTACTCCTGTTCATAGGGGGAGATTGTCTTATGAGTTTCTGGTGTATCAGTAACTAACCAGATCCATAAAATAAACCAAATGATTCCAACAATACCTTAAAATAGAAAAGTAACAGTTAAATACAATTCGAATACACCAACAGCAATTTTTACACCTTGAAAAAAATAAGGTAATTATAAACTCATTGTAATTGGTTTCAGATTAGTTTTCTTTTCTTTTTTTTTAGCTTAGTCTTCAAGTTCCTCTCATAATTCAATGAAATAGTTACTATATGTACTATTTTCTATAAATTTTGAAGAGAACAAGCTTTTTAAAAATTGCAGTAGAATTGACATACATTATACCAGTTTCAGGTATACAACATGATTCCATATTTATACACACTGCAAAATGCTCACTACAATATGTCAAGTACCACCTGTCAGTGTTCAAAATTACAAAATCTGTTTTTGTAATGAGAACTTTAATGATTTACTCTCTTAGCAACCTTCAAGTATGCACTACGGTATTATTAACTATAGTCAGCTGCTGTACCTTACATTGTTACAGAGAAGAACAAATTTTACCCCATACTAGATTTGTTCCTTTAGCTCTAACCCTCTGCTCTGTTTCCAGTGCCTAGTCATGCTGGTTCTGCACCTTTGGTAAAACAATGTTGCCTAGAGCCTGAAATAGATAGCTCATTCTCAAGGCTCTGACCTTTAAGGGTGTAACACTTTTCCATTCATATAGACATAAAAAATTGCACAGCAGAAAATATCATGTGTCTTGCTGGAGGTTTATAGAACATCCTGACCTGACCCAAGTGGACAGCTGCAAGAACAAAGGATTCAGACACCAAGAAGTTTTGCAACAATCAACACACCCACCCTCCCCTTTTTAGTATAAGAGCCTTGAATTGACTTGGGGAAGACGGTTCTCCAGGACATTAGTCCCCCATCTTCTCTGTCTGCTTTCTGAATAAAGTCGTTATTCCTTGCCCCAATACCTCGTCTCCCAATTTACTGGCCTGTTGTGTGGCAAGCAGAGTGAGTTTAGACCCGGTAACAACATCCCAGGACTTATTTTATAATTGGAAGTTTGCACCTGAAGAGGTACAATTCTGCCTATCAGGGTCTACCAGACAAATATTCTTAAAAAAAAAAAACAGATTTCTACAATCTATTATTTCCACAGGTCTTTGCTTTTGTTTGTTGATTTGTTTTTTGTTTTGACTGCAGACACATTCCCTGCATAAATGTTTATGTGGTAATCTAACTTATTAAATATGTGTATCATCCTGCTGCTGAGACTGAGAAATAAAAGCCCTGGGACTAAAACAAACACAAAAGATTGAAATTTCCAAGTGAGAGCATCCTACTTTGCTTGAGAAGAAATATCTTCAAAATACACATCTTTATAATAAACATAGTAATCTCTGATAGCAAGCATGGCATTAAGTCCTGGATTCAGCAGCAGCTCCTACTGAACAAACACTCCAATGTTAACATCAGGTCACAACTCAGCTAGATCATTTTATCCACATAAACTTGAAAAATAGGTAACAGTATGTGTTTGAGAGCTCTGTGGTTTAGGAGATGGTGACTGCAGTGAATTGGAGTACATGTTTTTAACTAATTTTAGAACACAATTACATTTTGGATTGTTGCATTATGTCGTAGGTTATACATTTCTGAATAAACTTACCAAAAAGGTAGAAGACGTATGTCCAATTCATATAAAAGCAGATTATACCAGAAAGAGGAAGAGAAATTACTGTCCCAAGCTGTGCTCCTGGAACAAGGACAAAGAGTTTGTAAACTCTGGGGAGAAATGAACAAAGATGGGGCGAGTCGACTGCCTGTAGACGATCGTAACAGACAAGGGGGAAAGAAGGAGCAGATTAAATCCTACAGGAGCTGAATGAGCCACAAATGTCAATGAACACCCCGCTCTCTTAAGGGATCATTTACTGGAAAACCCAAAATAAGTAAAACACATACATTGATGTGTAGTCTCATTAGTTACAATATGTAGCTACTGATGAATTAGAAGGTGTCCATCAATAGAAGATCTATTACAACATGAGCTAGTCAATGCCACATTACTAGCAAATGGGTTAGAAAGCCAGGTGTTTGGGAACAGGCTCAAAAAGGGTCTCTAAACATAACGTAGTTGCAGCAACCCCGATGAAAATAAGAATGAAGCTAATCTGCCCCCAATATATTATAGACAACTATTTCAGATAAGTAAATAATATAATACTTTTTTTAATATTATCTTTTTTTAAAATTAATGGAGGTACTGGGGATTGAACCCGGGACCTTGTGCATGCTAAGCACACACTCTACCACCGAGCTGTACCTCCCCCTCAATAAATAATAAAATGCATTTTAATCACCAAATATAAGACATCTTAGTTAAAGCACAGTGGGAGCTAAAATAATCAGACATTGTTTCTGCTCTCAAGTTTTAGTCTTATATAGGAGATAAATACAAATAAATAGTTATTACATGTTAGAAAGTGTTGGATGTCACAAAGCAATGTTCAAGTTCAAATACAGGACAGATGACCTCTGACCTCCAGAGGTCAGGAAAAGATGCAGAAGCAGCTGGAGACTTTGCAAAGACAAAACAAGAAAGGAGGTAAGAAAGAAAACAGAGGCAGGTGCGACGGGGAGCAAAGGGATGGATGGAGGGAAACAGAAAGTGGGTCTGGGAACTTCAAGTATGTGAAGGAAAGAAACAGAAGATAAAGGCTGGAAAGGCTTGAAGTTATTGAAGATCTGCTCGGTGCCAGGCACTCTGTCCAGCGGCCAGGAGGCTGAAATGGAGTGGTCAAGACGGGAAAAGATCCCGACCCCCAGTCTGAGCTTAGACTTTACTCAATAGGCAAAGGGGAACCATGGGTAACTCCTGCTCTTGAACGTCTTGTAAGATTTTTTACGTCCATCTCCACACACCTGCAAGAATCATCTTAAAATGTACATGGGAACATGTCTCTCTTTTGATTGAAAACTTCTGGTGTCTTCCCACCATATTTTTGGAAAAAAAAGAAAAGACTCTACGTCCCTCCCTGTGGCCTGTCGGCCCCGATCCTTGTCTATTTCTCTAACCCTGAGCATTTGTGACTTCCTGCCTGAGAGCCTTTGGACGTGTCATTCTTTTTTTTTTTTTCAAAGAGCTTTATGTTGTATTTATTTGTTGTATTATTTAATTATTTTATTGGGGGGGGTAATTAGGTTTATTCATTTTTAGAGGAGGCACTGGGGATTGAACCCAGGACCTCATGCATGCTAAGCATTTGCTCTATCACTTGAGCTATACCCTCCCCTGGACATTCCATTTTGACTGGCTCTTCTTGCTCTTTGCATGACTGGTTCCTCCTCAGCCTTCAGATTTTAGCTTAAAAAGCCACAACAGAGAGGCCTTTCTCAACCACCGTATTTAAAAGCAGTCAGGTCAAAAAGTTTTCATTCAATGTGTGAGCTGGTAAAGTTATAATTCATATATAAATGCTTGAGCTCAAAGCTATAGATTAAAATGATACTGAGTAAAAGCACAGAACAAAAGTGTCTGATGGGAGGGGCTGGGAGTCAGGATATGCTCATTAGATGATCAAATCAGAAGTCACCAGAGCACATGCTTAGCATGCACGAGGTCCTGGGTTCAATCCCCAGGGCCTCCTTCAAAATTAAATAAATAAATAAACCTAATTACCTCCCCCTCAAAAAAGACCTAAACAAAATCACTCTTCAAAAAAAAAAGTCACAATTTCAGCACAAAGGTGTTCAATTTTCCAGCTACTGTCCTTTTTCATTTGTTGTGTTTGTTTTGGTTGTTGTTAAAACATTCTCTATACCAACATCTGAAAGGGCAGCACGTTTTGAAACAAATGATGGCAGATGGGAAATTGACAGTCAGTGAAGCCACACTGCTTTATGTTGTTGAGCCAAAGAGCAAAATTACTGATAAATTGATACCCTGAAACTTTCTTTTCCCCTCAAAGGAAGTACCTGATGTTGTGTGACTCCAGCGCGCACCCTTCCCCCGAGGCTGATGTGTAGAAAACAAATTGTAGCAAAAATCTGTAAAAGAATAGTTATCTCACCTGCGTATGAAATGCTGAGAAGCTTGCTTCTCTCGAGGGGGGGCGCCCAGGACGACCACATGGAGTGCATGGCTGGGAATGTGACACCCTGGGGAGGGGAGAGAGATTTCTGGTCACACACAAGCAGTTTTGTTAATGCTTCAAATTCACCTGAGTATTCTGCGGCCAGAGAAAATTCTGCGTAAAGACTCAAACTCGAATCACGTTTCATGGAGAGAGCTGTCTCTATGGTACTGAGTGAAAATACCTCATAATGAAGTTCTTTCCACACCTGAACACAGACTTGTGGGTTCTGTCACCTGGTTTGAGAACTGCAAGGTACGGGCTACAATAAATCTAAAGAACGTGCTGAATGATGACACAAGGGATCCCTCTCAAGGCTAATTTTGCTACTTTATCAGTGAATGAAATGGGAACGCCGCCAATAACTAACTTTTAAAAACACTCAGCTCATACTGTGGGACACTGGAAGAATATCCCAACTGACCTTGATCAACAGGAAAAAGTGGCCCTGCCCAAAAAACGATGAATTCAATTGGAGTGTTTATGGATTTTTTTTTTCTTTTCTGGTGATGATCAGCCTAGTAAATGCCAATTAAGGGAGGGGTAAGATACAGGCAGGGGATGAAGGTAGAAACTACTAGGTATAAAATAAATAGGCTACAAGGATATACTGCACATTATGAGGAATACAGCCAATATTTGATAGTAAGTATAAACGGAGTATAACCTTTGAAAACTGGATCACCACGTTGTACACCTGAAACGTAATACTGCATGTCAACTACACTTCAATTAAGCATGTCAGTGGCTGATGTGAGGGAGGGGACACAGAACAGTGGAGGCAGGGAGGCCCGCAGAGACCGTGGGAGAGCAGGATGCGGGGGTGGGGAGGGAACCTACTCCTTCAATAGCTTCTGATTGAGTCAAAGCAGCGGAGTCACAGGTCCCCTTGGGGCCACTCACTAGCTGTGCAGCCTCAGAAAGATTAGGTAACCTCCTAGGACTGCAGTTTCTTTATCTGTAAAACAGATACTTCACTGAGGTAAGGAGAAGAGGAACCTGGTAATAGGGGTGAGTTTATTTTGTAGTCAAGATGGGTTTATTAGGACATCTCTATTTGATAAGGACACAGTAAGAACATTCGGATGAGTGATCAAAGCTTAGACTTAAATAGCACCTGGCAATTTCCATAGTTTTCTAGTAACTGTCATCACGTCTAAGCTGTGACTGAGGATGGCGCAGGTACTTTATATATTATGTTTATGCTACACGTTATATATACTGTATTTGTATAACCCTTGTACATATTATATTACAACCTAGATTCAGTGGAGTTATTATTCAAACTCTGATTGTATGACTCCAGTCAGTGTTTTTCCAACACAGCAGGATACAGCGCTATCTAAAATAACCTTCATGCTATACACCAAACCCAGAGCCACTGTCTTGCTAGAGTTAAAGAAATATTGAAAGAGAGCAAAATAAAGCTATGCTTTGGTTTCAAGGGTAGAAGTTCAAAGTTAGAAATGAAAAGAGACCCTTACTTAAAGATGGAGATATATATGATGAAATGCAAAGAGAAGCAGAAAGGAAAAGAAAAATAAGGACTAAAATTTTTACAATTAAAAAATTTTAAATGGTGGAGGTTTTAGGAGGAGAAGAAAAAACAGAGATAAAAGTTAATAATAACAATATTAAAAGCAGCAGGAAGGCCAGAAGAATCTTGAACTAAAAGAAGATAGTTACAGGGGGAGGGTACAGCTTAAGTGGTAGAGAGCGTGCTTAGCATGCACGAGGTCCTGGGTTCAATCCCCGGTACCTTCTCTTAAGAGAAGTAATCAAATAAATAAACCTAATAACCAAAAAAACCTAAAAAAAAAACAGTTACATAAAATGATAGATTATTTGTCTCTAAGTTAGAGGACCAGAAAAAAGGACAAATGATAAAGAAAAAGTTCTACGAGTAACAACAAATTTAAAAGTTAGGGGGAGGGTATAGCTCAAGTGGTAGAGTGCACGCTTATCATGCATGAAGGCCTGGGTTCAATCCCCAGTACATCCTCTAAAAATAAATAAATAAACCTAATTACCTCCCCCGACAAAAATAAACAAAAATCTTATGTACTCCCCCCCCCAAAAAAAACAAGGGAATTTGACAATCTATTGTGGACCACGAGTTTCAGACCTGTCCACTCAGTGACTGAGCCGGGGTAAACGGAGGCAAAAGTTCAAGAGACAGGATGGTCTATCTTCATGGTTTTAACAGTGGTTTATTTTCTTATCTCCTAAGGAAAGAGTGGGTAAGGAACTATGATGTGTCCCCCCGAAAATGGCTTCTCTAGTCTTCCAGTAAAGCTTCTGATTTCGGGGTGCTTCTGCACAAGACCTCACTGACCACATACAAAATCTACTCAGGTTGTTTACAGTTGATCATTTTTCTAATTAAAAAAATAACTCCTGGTTACCTTCCAGTGGCATTTTTGGGTTCATATTTATACCAAGGAAGACCTTTAAGAAGACAAGAAAGTGATGTAGGGTAAGAAGAAAAACAGATCAGAATAAAAATTACCTCTCCAAGTCCTTCCAGCGCCCTGAGGGCGACGAGGGCTCCAACTCCGAGATCGGCAGCAAGGGGGGTGAACAGGGTGAAGACGGCGGTGCCCAGGATCCCGAATCCCAGCAGCAGCTTCCCCCCGACTCTGCTGGCCATGTATCCTCCGGGAATCTGTGTGATGATGTAGCCATAAAAGAAAGACCCGAGAATCCATCCTTGAGTTTCTGCATCCCACTGGTACCTTTTACCCTATGAAGAGTAGGAGGAAAAATAAACCTTTAAAGACCTTGACCGACTGACTCCTTTCTCTCACTAGCATGTAGTACAGATAAATGTTGTTCTGAACCACTTTCAGACTGAAGAATGTCCAGGCTTTCACGGCAGGTGGGTCGCCATGATACAGACGTGCACTTTCTAGAAGTGGATGGGAAATCACTGAAAGTCACAGTTTCAGGAGGGCTTGCTGTTTCATGAAACTAGACTAGGGGGTGAGTTGTTGATGTTTCATAACCTGGGCTTTGGAGCCAGGCCTGGGTTCAGGCTCAGGTCTATTACTTCCTGGATTTGTGATCTGGGGAGATTACATGGAAAGGGTCCATAAATAAGGCCTTTGGGGATGGTAGAGCTCAGTGGTGGAGCGTGTGCTTAGCATACACGAGGTCTGGGGCTCAATCCCCAGTACCTCTAGTTAAAAACAAACAAACAAACAAATAAACCTAATTACCTGTCCCACCAAAAAAATAAATAAAATAAAAAATAAAGTGTGACATACACTAAGTGTTCACTCAGTGTTGGCTACTCGTGTGCATACATGTAGATAATTAATAGCTCTCCATGTCAGACCAAGCACTTGAACAGGGATACTGAGCGACACAAAAGAGCAAGAATTTAGGGGGAGGGTATAGCTCAGTGGTAGAGCACGGGCTTAGCATGCACGAGGTCCTGGGTTCAATCCAGCACCTCCATTAAAAAAACTGAATAAGTAAATAAACCTAATTACCACCACCCCCAAATAAAAAACAATTTTTTTAAATGAAAGAATTTAAACCAAGCCATGTGAGTGGGAAACGTCCTTTAGTGAGTAGCGGCACACAGCAGGGTAATAATCTAGTGACTGAGTATGTGACATCTTTTGCACACGCAGCCGTGTAACCTAGACAACGTCTAGCCAACATGTCAGGAACCGCTCAGGATTTCATTTTACTGTCGACACAGAGCAGATGGAGATAAGCAGTAGCTGGATCATCAGAAGCGCTTACCGAAAGCAAAGATACAAAGCAAACTCCTAGTTATCTGTGTCTAGGCTACCAGTCTGGAGATTTTCTGCAGAATTTCAGGGCTGCATGAAGACTCCAGCAGCTACGGGTTTAGGTGGGGCCGGTGGGTGATGTGTACTCAAATACACAGTCAGCAACACTCTCCAAGTCCCGTGTCAGGGTTTCCGCTAAGTCCTAATTCTGTACGTGCTCTTGTTTGGACAGAAGCCCTCCTTTCTGTTTGAACGCTCGTGTCTGTAAATGGGAGAGGGGACTCATCCTGGCTCCTTTGTGAGCACTGAAGATGGATGAAAATATACTCACAAGAGGATGCCAGCCCTTCCCCCTCCGTATTGTCTCCCCACGTGATGAGCAAAATAAAGTGCGTAAAACTCAGTTCTGAACAAATGATGAACATGCACGTATCAATTCCCTTATAACAGGAAGCAGGTAGAATTTTGGAAAAGAAATTGACCTGTTCTTATGTTCCTGCAGCTGAGATGATCTAAATTCTCTGCAATAGAAACGTTGCAGGTAGTCCAGCTATTAAATAATGGGCCCATGAAAACTATTTAGCAACATCGAAAACAATCCAATTTTCTAGGATGGCAGACAGGTTTTCCCCAAATTCTCTTCTAGGAGAGTATGTTTATGGAGGTAACTGAAAAACTGCTTTTTAAACAGATCAAGGCACAGCAGCAGTTCCTATTATAAGACTGGTAAAACACCAAAGGAAGTGACTCAGAGTTTACATGAAGAAAGCATTTGTGGGTGGGGAGGGTATAGCTCAGTGGTAAGAGGGTGTGCCTAGCATGTGTGAGGTCCTGGGTTCAATCCCCAGTATCTCCATTAAAAACAGAATTTTTAAAAAATAGATAAACCTAATTACCTCTTCCCAGTTCCCCCCAAATAAGGGTGTTCATGGTCTCTGCAAGATGAATAAATTCCATATTTTTCCTTGGAAGTATTTCAGGATTAAGAGCGTTTGCTTGGAAAAGAGCACTTACCGTTTGGTTATGGAGAACTTTTATGGGAGCAGAATGCTCTGCACACTCGCTGGAAGTTCTGTTATCTGCTGCCGTTGAGTTTGAATCTACCATGTCCACTAACGCCACACTCAGATTCACCCGCAATGCATAGAGAACGAAGAAACCACAAAAGGCCAAAAACGCAAGGTTGTAACGAGCAGAGCAGCACACTGGAGCTGGAATGAAAATGGTGGGGGGACTCGCGTTACAAGAGTGGCTCTGATACGCTCTAACATCTATACATAAAACTGGCCTCTAGTATGTAATATATACACTGCCCACATCACCGAAAGGTCACTTCTTAGAAGCACACAAGTTAATAAATCCTGACTATTGTTTCTGAGAATATGCTCAGATAAAGCATATCTCAAACCATTTATCAAAGAGAATTTGTTGCTGGTATCCGCAGTTTGGATAAATATTTAACACAGGAGAGCCTGAACTCTTAAGATGAGTTTCTGGAAACGTGGAGAAGCAACAGTTTTATCGACTTGGCTCAGAAAAATCTCCACGCCAAGAGTCAAAACCAAACCCCCAATCTCTGTCAGCTGGCAAGTACGAGAAAAACAGGTAAGAGGGTTTAATGGCATTGTGACTTCTGGAAAGCTCTCTCCAACAGAGCCAAAAAGTGCTTGCATGCGCAGCGCACCATGTCCGTCACTGACCGTGGGTGAGCAGCCACCATCCCAGCACCAGAGACAACTGCCACGGCTCGGGCGCGAAACGCCTGCTGACCAGCGTCTTACCTTGAACAGTGTCCTCAGAGGCGGGGTCTGAATCAGAAGCCATGATTAGTACCTAAGGCTCTCCTAAGCTACAGGGATCTAAGGATCCAGAACTCAATTTGCGGAAACTGTGACAGTTGCAGCGCCTGTGACAGTTGCTGAGTTGATGGTGCTTAAAGGGCCCACAGTGAGCAGGGCAGTGAAGGAATGTACCACAAGGATCAAAAATCAAGAAAATAGAAAAGGGAGGCAGAGTAGGCTGGAGGAGCCAATGAAAGGAGAGCATGTGAGAGGGGGTGTTTGACCTCATTTCTTTTCTAGTCTAATTATAAGTGGATGCACAGATTTTCTCAGTTTTTCTTCTTTCACTGACTTGCAGAACTGGAGAGGGAATGAGAAGCTGACTTAAGCATGAGTGATCCCTTATTGACAATAAGGAAGTGGCTAAGCCAGGGTTGTACACTTTAAGTTTGGTCAACACTTGAGTGTGTGATGAATTTCTGTTGAAAGGTATGAATGTCTATTTCAATTGCTAATGTCAAGTTAAATGCGTATATTTGAAAACATGTGAGCTTTTGTTTGGCAATGACATATTAGCATTGCGTGCGTACGTGCGCGCGCGCGCGCGCGTGTGTGTGTGTGTGTGTGTGTGTGTGTGTTTTTCCCCTAGTCAGGGATCCTGGCGTTTTCCTTGACCTAACGTCACACAAGAATACTTTTTTGGCGGCGGGGGGGGGCAGATAATTAGGTTTATTTTCATTTTTTTTTAATGCAGGTACTGGGGATTGAACCCAGGACCTCGAGCATGCTAAACATGCACTAATTTTGTATTTTATTTGTTTCCAGCCTTCTTTAAGAATATATATTTTTTAAAACACAATTTAAAAAAATACTTTAGTTATTCAGTTTGTGGGCTTGTGTGTGGGGTTGTTTGGGGAGGATAACTAGGTTTATTTATTTAGTTATTTTGATGGAGGGACTGGGGATTGAACCCAGGACCTTGTGCATGCTAGGCATGTCCTCTGTCACTGAGCTATACCCTTCCCCCAACTTATTATTTCTTAATGGAGGTACTGGGGATTGAATCCAGGACATGCTAAGTGTGCATGCTAAGGTAAGTGTGTGCTCTACCACTGAACTATACGTGGTAAGTGTTAAGAATACATTTTTCAGGGTACAAAGGGCTTGGTACTGATTCGGACTGCCTGATACAGACAGAAGCACTGCTGACTACAGCACAACAGTCTTTTCATGCACATTCATACACTGTGATCCAACTCACTTTTCTATAAGCACTTACACACTTAACAGCTGTCAATTTTTCCTCTGTGCAAGATTTACACCTATTAACAGAGGACTTTTTCTTTGACGTTCCTGGTTCCCTTTTCGGGGGTAAGGCTGGTATCAGAACCAGGGCGCCACTGCCACAGTTAGGTCCAGACCTGTGGGAACAGTGTTTCTAAGCATTCACACTGCCTCTGCTACCTGAATCCAGACACATTTGCTCTGCTGCAAACAAACGGGCAGCCGTCTAGTTAAGGACAGTTTGCAAACTGCAAAGGCGTGGTTTGTTTGTTTTTCAAATTGAAGTACAGTTTACAGTGTTGTGTCAATTTCTGGTGTACAGCATAATGTTTCAATCACATATACACATATATATTTTCATTCTCATATTCTTTTTCATTATAGGTTACTACAAGATACTGAATAAAATTCCCTAAGGCATGTTTTCTGGGGGAGCACTTTTTCTTTACCATTGCTCTGGGCTGGACAAGAACATACACACAAGTCTGGATGGAAGACTCGTAATCTTTTCAATTTTGGGCAATTAAAATGTGTTTCCCTTGAGTCATTTGGAGCAGGAAAAAAATCCAGATTTAATTACCATCTGTTTTGCCAAGGTACTGTTTTACAAAGTTCATGATCTGCTTCAGCAGAGGAGTGACAAGATGTGATTTATGGTTTAAAGAGCTTCTCTGGTTGCCATGTGGCTATCACAAAGTGGGAGAAATGTGAACCACGTTGGGGGATGTAGACACAGGGAGACCACTTACGGGACTAGTGTGACTTTCCAGGTAAGAGATGAAGGTGGCTTAAAATAGAGTAGGGCAGGAGGGCATAGCTCAAGTGGTAGAGCGCATGTCTAGCATGTGTGAGGTCCTGGGTTCAATCCCCAGTGCCTCCTCTAAAAGTAAATAAATGAATAAATCTAATTACATGCCTCCTCTAAAAGTAAATAAATAAGTGAATAAATCTAATTACCCGTCTCTTCCAAAAAACAAAAAAAAGAAAGAAACATAAAACAAAGCGAAGCATGGGCAATGGAGAGAACTGGATGCACTTGGGATAAATTTACTGGCAGAATTGACAACTTCATTTTCTGTTGCTCTGAGCTGTAAGGTTGTTACTCCGTTCTATTCTTATTTGAGTTACCTTAATTTCCTGCATTATCACTTTCTCTCCATGTGATAACTGATTTGGACTCTGATGTACATCATTGTGAGAATCAGATGTGGGGCTAGAAGCTTGGGAAGTTAAAGAAAGGTAAGGAAAATAATTTCAGAGTACTACTGTTATTACTTGAAAACCTGAGCTAGAAGTTATGGGTCAGGTAACTGTAACTTATGGGGGCACAATCAATAATCCAAAAACAGGGGGGAGGGTATAGCTCAGTGGTAGAACTCATGCCTAGCATGCAAGAGGTCTTGGGTTCAATCCCCAGTGCCTCCATTAAAAATAAATAAATAAGCCTAATTACTCCCACTCCAAAAAAAGACAATAAAAAGCCAACACAGATGTCACAAATTATATAACTATGGAGTTTTAAGAAATATTTTTAAAATAGCTATTAGCTGTATAAAAATTATTGTTGATTACAAATCCGTCAGGAAAATTTCATGTCAAGAAAGGGTGGCCGTATACTTCAATTAAAAAAAACCCCAAAACTATACGTCAATTGGAAAAAAAAAAGAAATTGACATATTGTAACTGACTATACTTCAATTTAAAAAAAAGGGTGGCCAAAAAGCAAAATGTGTCCTTGAACTTGGCTCATATTTGAAACTGGGCCAAGAAGAGCATGCTTCTGTGACGAGGAGAGAACAGCCACTGGACACCCACCACACCGAAATCGAGTTCAAAGCAAAACCAGGCTTGCATAAGGAACAGAGCGCCCATCACAACAAACTCCAGGAATACGGAGTGGGCGTAGCTGAAGGAACACAGGCTAATGATTTAGATCGAAGCTGACCCAGGAACGCATCTCAGTTCTGATTTCCACGGGTGTGTGGCTATGAGGACGCGACCTAATGGCTTTCGTCATCAGGGGTCTCAGCTCCAAAAGGAGGGTCATGTGAGGCTCGGATAAGGTACTGAAGGGCCGTGTTGCAGGCAGTCAGTAAAAGTGAGTTCCTGGGCTGTCCACCCTGGAGAAAGTTACACTGCGAGTTAAGTGCTACAAGATACGTGGCGTGTAACACGGGACCAAAGAGCCACCTGAATGTGCTGGGTGTGGTGTCGGGGTCAGGGAGGGCCTCTGGGAGAAAGAACAGTGCTCTTCGCCAATAGGCGGGAAGCCACCAGGCAGGTTAGAGGCAGGACGGCGGTGCAACTGGAGTGGCGGCAGGGACAGGTGTGTGGGAACGAGATAGGGGAGCACAGAAGGAGCAGGACATGCCCGAGGACCAGATGTCGCTGGACTGTGGCTCCGCAGTAACTCTGAGTGGGACAGCGGGGGCTGTGCTTAGTAACAGAACATAAGAGCTGACGTCTATTGGGCCCTTACTGTGTACTCAGTATCAGCTCAGGTGTTTCCCTGCACGGGTGACAAGGATTAACTGAGCGGGAACGTGTGAAATGCTCAGAACAGTGCTTAGCACATCATGTGTCTTCAATAACTGTGGGCTACTATTGTTATTGCTGCTTTTCCTGGATATTAGGAATCGAGGTAATTTGTTAGGGATCGAGGTTATTTCTCTGAGTGAGAAATCAGCATTTAAAAGAAGAAATAAGACGCCGTTGTAAAGAGTAGGGATGTGAAGTTCCCAGAGAAATATACAGGACTGCTGAGGGGGTAGACGCCCACCCCGAACTGGTGGGAGCGACCTGCCCTTGTGCATGACCTTGAAGCACTACTCACCTGTACTCAGAGGCCAGCTCTGGGACAGCAGAGGGTTGGCGATGAGATGGATGTGGTGACAGAGCAGACGGCAGGGGAGTTTAGAGTTTTGGCAAGAAAATAAAGTGTTAGACTGTGATTCTGACCCAAGAAGCAAGTAAAATGGAGCAGGCTAATGGTTTAGGAAAATGTACACTAGAATACAAAATCTCAGTGAGGGTAGGAGCTTTCGCCCTGTGTTGCTCACTGCGTACACTTTCAGTGCCTACAAAATGTCTGGGAGAGTGGACATACAAATATTTGGGGGTTGAGGACGAAATTAAACTTACAAGCT